GATAAATCTTTGACAGCCAATCAGAATCCACGAGCTCGGGCATTTAAAGTGCCAAGCGACAAAACTGCAACATGTGCTTATAATAAAACATCATCATCCTTTGATGTGGATGCTAATAAAATTTTTTCCATAGTTATTGTTCTTGGTGTGATTAGGTCTGACCAACTACAGTCTTTTATTTAATGGTTTATTGGTTTAATTGATGGTTTATTATTCAATTGATTAATCTGTAATTGATACATTTTCTTGAATAATTTCCAATTGATCGTATTGAATGTTGCTTGATCAGTTTCAGTAGAATCAGCACAAATGTGTTCCATAATCAGAGCAGTGGGCATACAGTACATTAACGCATTAGAATAGTGGACATAATGTATTCATATATTAATTAATTATTAAATATATGCATTTAATTTGTTGTTAAAACAGGCACACTTGTTATTTGTAGTCCAGCATGTGTATGTTGTATTAATGTCAATTAAATGATTAATACTTTTTCCTGACAAGGGACATGAACCTTGCAGACAATGTTTAATCTAAAGGACTAGTGTTTCCTCTGAAAGTTCCTTCCTTGAAACTTTACGTCCAGCCCACTTATAAAAACTGCACAGAAGCCAGTCAATCAGGTGATTTCAATCAGCTCTTGCTATTTTTCTGTATGGTATGCATCTGTCCTTACCCTTCATGATCTGCTGCAGCTCCATCTGCAGGGTCTGGATGGCGCGGGCCGGGTGATCTCCCGCTGTGCGCTTGATCCGATGGATGGAGAGACGCCCGTCACGCACTGCTGCGATATCATCGTCCTCGAGGAAGATGACCCGATTGGTGTGCTCGATGACAGCACTGCAGTGACATCAAATAAAGACATTTAATCACCTATTCTGTTTAAATCCACTCCATTCTTTTTGGGTTTTGCTTGAAAAACACCAGAGCAAACAAATCCCCTCTGCTGCACAATATAAAGATAAAACCAACAAAGAAAGCGAATGGATGAGGCGAAACCGAAAGGAATAGACCTGGCATCAGATGCAAAGTAGTACTCCACGGCTTTCTCGTCCACAGGAAACAGACACGTGTCCTCGTCCATTCTGGGCAGAGTATTGCAGCTCTTTTTATCTTTACCAGCTATATAAAAAACACAAACAACATTATTAATCAAAGGGTAAATTAAAAACTTGCAGTACTTTTTATGTGTTTACACTTTATTCTTGGTAACTCTAAAGAGAATATATATACACGAATTATATTTATGATGCTAGTAAAAGCTGAAAGGATCATTTGCTATCAGAAGCAGGATACTGCAAGTAAACTATACAGTACAATGCATGACAACATTTTTGCCACTATATGAATGCTTATAAATTAATTGCCTATCAATTCTGGACTTCTACCTACTTATTTGACAGATACAGTTGAAAGTAGATTAGTTCTATTGCACAGAGATGGGCCAGTGGAATCTGAGCACGTTGCAGGACAGACTTGAACATATTTGAGCATTACGCTCAATGACTTTACAGCATATGTGCCAGTTATTTACAAATATAAACTGTGCTTCATGCAGTGAGAGGTCAGTGTGTGTTATGAAGGAAGTGTGTGAACTCACAGGAGCGATACAGGATGGGGATGTGATCTGTGGAAAGCTTGTGATCACTTCTAACGCCAATCAGTAATGGACCTCCTCTCCTGGATGGATGCAAAGAAATACCCATGAGATGTTCAAATAAGGCTGATTTGGCGGATCCTCTTAGTTGTACTGTAATACAGTACCATTGATAGGGCTGTCAAATGATTCAAATACAGTGTATTGCAAGGTAATTATTGTCTTAGTTAACACACATTCAGTGCATTTGTATATAAAAGATACAGCTGGCTAATGAGAGCTACAGAGAATAACCGACTATAATCTAAGTCTGTTTACAAGGTGTTACATGTGTTTAAAGTCCCTATGAAATCAAAATTGAAATTGTTTGGCTTTTAGTATGAATATGTTAGCCTTATAGTTATGTATAAGCTTGTGTGCTCCAAAACGATGACAAAATTCGTATTTAGAAGATATAAGCATTAAAAACTTACAGTCTCTCACTTCCGGCTATATGAATCAACGGTTTTGATGACGTCACCCCTCACTTCAGCTTCTCATCAAACTTTCTGTGCAATCAAATGCTCTCTAGAATCTGAAATGTCCCGCCCCCTACACTATAAATAAATTTAGCTGTGGCTAAAATCGGTCACTTGTTCACAGAGTTAGTATTTTCTGTATGCTGAATGGCACGTAGTGCACTATATGGGGAATAAGGAACGATTCAGGCAGTGTAAATATGCTTTCCATTGGGTCGAAGAAGTCTGGTTTCGCTTTGTGTCACGCGCACAGTCTGCTCCGGTCCAGAGACACGATCAAGGAGCGGATCATATGCGCGAGTCGCGCAGACCACAAAATGAATCGGACCCATTTGAATTCTACACAGAACGCTGTATTTTATAGCGATTTGGATCAGATTAGGAGGAGAAACGGTTAGACAAGCCCTGCACAAACCTACACAATTTTCAAACTACACATCCTCAGCATCATTATAATCACTGTTTTGCTTTAGTAAGAGTTTCATATTGAACCTAAAGAGCTAATCTATTGAGAAGGGTCTGGCGGCAGCTTGGCGCTTGCACTCTCAGACGTTTTGTTGGTATTGATTGCTTCTTTTGTCCTCATTTGTAAGTCGCTTTGGATAAAAGCCTCTAATAAATGACTAAATAAATAAATAACAAATAATCATTAAATCACCACCACAGCATCTTGTCTCCATCGGCAACACGCACCATTTGTGTCGATTGCAAGTGACGTCGCAGGTATCGGAGAGTGCAAGTGGCGATTGCAAGTGACTTCATAATATAGTTTCTTTTTTCTTGTCTTCACCACCTGGCTATACTGTTGTAAAATGTTGAGAGATTCAAACAAAAAGTAATCAATAAATAGAACAAAATAAAAAATAATAAAGACTGCAAGTGACGTCGCTAGCGGAAGTGCAAGTGTCTGAGACTGCAAGCCTGAGAATGCACGTCTGAGAGTGCAAGCGCCAGCTGCAGCCAGACCCTTTTGAATCTATTAGACTGTGGCTGTCATAAGCTGTCAAATGCGGCGTTACCGAGCTCAAAGGCTCTGGCCCAAGCTGTGATACCATTGAAACGCTATTGGCCATTTAAAAAGGGGGCAGGGCTGCTCGATATGTCCCGCCCCATCTTCCTGTTTCAGTTGAAATTACGTCACCACATAGCACAACGCTGCACGTTTCAAGGCACTTCAGTGGACCTTTAACCAAGATTAATAAATGCTGTAGAAGTATTGTTCATTCTTAGTTCATGTTAACTAAAGTAGTTAACTAATGAACCTTATTGTAAAGTGTTACCATAATAATAAATGCTTTAGACTTATTTGTCATTGTTAGTTCATGTTAACTACTGTAGATAATTAAAGTAAATAAATGGAACAAGCGTCACCTAAATTTTAATCATAGTAAGACTGCAAATGGCTTGCTTTTGTTAAACGCCCCATCTGGTTTCATTTATAACTGTTCATAGAGAACGACTTTAACCTTTTCCTTTCTCCTGATATCGGGAGCTCCACTAGGGGCTTTGTGTTTGTGTGTATGACTGCTCAGAAGCTCATGATCGGTTCTTAGAAATCACACCAAACAGAATGAAACTGCTGAAATAAATGAATGCATTAACGCATTTAATTGAGCACATATGTAAACGCTGACTACATAAGGTAGAAGTTACCTGCTGCCCACTGCCTCTCCTGGATAGTGCAAACTTTTGAAGACCAAGACAAAAGCTCCTTCCTAAAGAAGAGAAGACGTTTATTGCCACATCATTCTCATTACTCGTGACCTTTAGAGTGCCCATCGTCGTCAAGGTGACAGAAAAGGTGTTTACTAGTTGCTGGGTGACTTGCTCCACGAGGGTGGTGAAGGTGATGGCATCGCTCTCCCGGTTATCATACATGTACTTCACTAGCTTAGCGATGGTCTCCGTGTCCGTCTCAGACTCAAACTCATAGCCTTTACTCTCCTATACACATACAAACAGAAACGGTCAACATATAGACACACGTCGGGTGGATGAATGGATGAATGGATGGATGATGTTGTTTTACTTGCCAGAAATTTCTTCAGGTCTTTGTAGTTGGTGATGATTCCATTATGGATGACAATAAACTCTGCAAGCAAATCAAATGATGACTACAAAATTGGAACACTTCTATCCAAAATATTATTTTAATGGAAAAGTTTGCAACTAGATACGAGTTATGAAAAGCAGGCTGCTAACTGACCGTTGTTCTTGTCAGATCTCTGCGGGTGGCTGTTGACAGGGCTGGGGGCGCCATGAGTGGCCCATCGAGTGTGAGCGATTCCCAGATGCACATCAAACTCCACATCAAGATCAACATCCTGCTGCCCTGTGGAACAGATGTTTACATACAAACTGCTAATACCACATTTCAAATCAATAGTGACATGATCACACTTAGAAATACAAATGGAACAGAAATACACTTTACACAAGTGCAAGTGTGTGATGTGTCAAGAAAAGAAAAAACCTTGTTTAAACACATTGCAAGTTCTTTGAAATGTACTTGTATTGGTTTCACAAAACCTTTATATATTTTTTTTACTTATTGTGGACGTTTACAGGGATAGTTCAATTCGGTCATCATTTACTCATCCTCAGGTTGGTCCAAACCTGTAGGAATTTGTTTGTTTTGCTGAACACAAAAGAAGATACTATGAATAGTGTGTGTAACCAAAAAGTTGCTGGCAGCCATTGACTTCCACAGAACAATGTGGTAACTCGCATTCTTGAAAATATCTTCTTTTGTGTTCAACACTTGGATCAACTTGAATTAAGTAGTTCATCAAGATTATTTTCAAACTGTTGATGTGAAGTGAAAACAGAAACTATAGTGCAGACACCGCACTCAAGAATTTGTACGTGCATCGTGCGATTTGCTCTGTGATGCTTTTTGAAGCACATTAGCGCGAAGTCTAGATTTTATTGCAAGATGTGTTCTCATACTGGCTTATAGTGCGTTTTGTGCCTAACCCAGACCTGTGAAATTACCACCATTACTTACTATGGATTTCCTCATCCAGGGCTTTGACTTTTCCTGTTTGTTTGATCAGGTGGATGCTCTTGGAGTTGGTTTCCCATTCCTTACTGTTCCCCCCATCGATACCCACACCAGCGGAGTCATAGCCACGGTACTCCAGGCGGTGCAGACCTTTGATGAGGACCTCAAGGATCTCACGCCGAGTACGGGGCACGTGATAATTCAGATACGCAAAGATGCCTTTAGAGAGAAAAAGAAAGTGTGTTTGTTATTATGGATAGTGCCGTGAAAATCTGTTTATTTGCAGAAATTAAGACTATGGCTGCATTCCAATTCACACACTAACAATTAGGGGTCGACCGATTATCGGCGCCGATATTAAGCATTTTTATGATTATCGGTATCGGCCATTTTCAAAACCGATTTGCCGATAAAATAACTTAATTTTGAATTAATCGCTATTTGGCTCTGATGCAGCCTGTCAGAACCCACCACTCTGTGGCCTAAAGCAGTCTCCGCCCACCGATCATCTGATTTGTTGGGAGTTATGAGTCCGACCAATCAATGCGGAATTCACTCTCACTCCAAAAGCGCTTGCTAACTGGAGCTGCTTCAGTGATCACGCATCAGTTGTCTCTCAAAGGTAAGGCAGCAGCAGACGTTGCTTAAGTTGCAATAGATCCCAATCAACTAACGTTACACTGAAGTTGCAAAACACCTCAATATTATCTATGATTTCCACGATGCGGAAAACGCAGACGGAATCGCGGAATCCAGTCATATAAATGGAATTTACTGTATGAC